GTAACTGTAATGCAAATCATTGCATTTTGTTTCTTCTAAGAATTTGATGACTCTTTTGCAGGGAGTTTGGTTGGATCTAATGACATATTGACTTTAATTTGAATTTCACTTATGATTGATGATGTTAAACATTATTCAAACATCTGTTGATCCTTTGTACATTTTTTAGTGGAATACTTATCATATCACTTGACCATTTAACCATCAGATTATTTTCTTGCTATTGAGTTGTTTGAGTAATATGAATAATTCAGCTCCAGTTCTTCTGATCTTGTCCAACATATTTACAGTCATACAGCATATATTATCACAGAAAAAAATTGTTTAATATTTTTTCATTCTGCTAATAAATACTGAAAATAAGGTAATCAAATAAAAATGCAAACCAAATCAACACCAGGAGGCACCTTACACGGGAATGACAATTGGTGCAGTCACTTTGGGAAAAGGGATAGTGGCTCCTGGAAAACCTAAGGTAGAACTACCATAGGATTCAGCTGTCCTCAGCAGGGTGTGTCCTCGGTGTCTCTAGCACTGGCAGCATCATTCCCAGTGCCAAGGCACAGAATTAACCCAGGTGTGTGTCAGCAAATGAATGGACTGAGAAAACACTTGTGTGCAGAAGACATTGTACCACTCAGCATTAGAGAGGAGGGACAATCTCTCACTAGTGACAATGGGTGACCTAGAGGACATTGTGTGAAACAAGCCAGGCTCAGCAGAACAAGCAGCACATGACCTTGACCCTGGAGTCTGAGGAGTAATACTCATTCTTAGAAGCAGAGTGACACCGTGGTCAACAGGGCTTCTGGGAAAGAGAGGTGGCCCTGGCAGATATTCAAAGGAAGCAGAATTTCTGTTACACAGGAAGAACAAGTTCATGAAGCATGGTGACCTCAGCTATAATCATAAATGTCATGTTGAAAACAGCTGAGAAGATAGAGATTAAGTGCTGTCAGGACAAAAAAAAAATCCCCAAGTGCACAAGTACTGCATCTGCTAACTGGTCAAAGCTGACCATTGCAAAACACATGCCTATCAATGGACCATGAGGTACACCAGCAAGAAATAAAGCTCACTTGTCATTGAGAAAAATAATATTGATAATAATAAAAAATAGAAAAAATACGTTGATTCTTGCATAATTCCATATAATCTGTGTGTTTGAGGATGTCAGCAGGTGAGTAAAACTACATTTTGTGAGCTAATTTGTACTCTTTTATACAATTCAAAGTCAACCTAAGAGGTATAGCTCTAAATATCCTGTGTGTACCTGGCACTCTTCCAAGAAATTTGTAATAACAAATTAACTTTATACCCCAGACCACATATACCATGTACCCTGATATCATCCAGTTTTATAGGTGAAGAACCAAAGAACCAATTGCTTACACTGTAAGTAATATAGCTCAGAGCAATAAAAAATCATGAAGCCAAGAAACAGACATGATCTAGATCTAAAGGGAAAATGTGAAATTCTGAGCTGAGATTGCCTCATGACCTTCTTCAGACTTCTGAAGATGTCAGGCTTCTGGCGATGGTGATAGTGTGACTCAATGATATTTTTATTTATATGTTTCCAGAGAAACAAACTCGACTGAGCTCAGCATTTCAAGGACAGTTTATAATTAGGCCACAGCCTGCCTGAGGGAAGTCAGGGCAAACAGGGTCAGTTCCTTACCGGACAGTGCAGGCAGGGTTGTACTGTGGCCCAAGTCTCCGTGGCAGAGTCCTGTGGGCTTTGAATTTCCTTACTCGCTGGCAGAGTATGGCCCTGGCATCAGGAAAAGGTGATTGACCTGGACACTCCCACCTGCTGAAAAGCTAACTCAAATATACCATGTACCTCAACATAAAATGCAAAACTCTACAGCCTCATCAAGAACACAGAAAGTCTAGACCGCTGGGCTTGGCAGTTTTCACATACAAGATCCAAGCTTGCTCCAACAAAGGTGAATGTGATATAATGAACCTTTATAAAATGAAGGACTTCTGGAGTCATCAGTATTCAAGGGCCATGGAGGAAAACATGCCACAGTGTTGAGAGCCACAACCAAGTCAAGATGGCACCTGGCCTTTTGCCAGAAGGAGTGGTTGAGAAGTAATGCCAGCAAGTCATTAAGATGATGATAATTAAGTTAAGTTGTGTATAATTGTTGGGATGGTGACTGATTGCTGTAACTGGATGATGCTAAATTGAAACAAGCTGTGTATTCAGTTGTGTATATAAACCTCTGCTGTCCGGCAATAAGGCGGCTCCTGCTACCTCGGGTGCCTGCTACTTTTGAGTTCTCTCGGAGTTCCTGTTGAGTTCCCGTTGGTTCTCGTGGAGTTTCAGTAGAGTTCCGGTTGTGTTCCCGTGGGGTTCGGGTAATAAAGTAGTTCCTGTTTTGAACCTACAAGTGGCTCGTGACCTCCCGGTTATTTTGTGCCCAGCCAGACTGCGGCACCACAGACTGAGGGAAATATTTGTAAAAACACTACATACTTCGGGGCTGGGGTTGTAGCTCAGTGGTAGAGCACTTGCTTCACATGTGTGAGGCACTGGGTTTGACCCTCAGCACCACATAAAAATACATAAATAAAAATAAAGATATTATGTCCATCTATAGCTAAAAAAAATTTCAAAAAAAAAAAAAAAAAAAAAACACTACATATGTAGCCAGGCACAGTGGTGCATACCCATAACCCCAGCAACTCAGGAGGCTGGGGCAGGAAGTTCACAAGTTTAAAGTCAGTCTCAGCAACTTGGCAAGATCCTGTCTCAATAAAAAAGGGCTGGGGCTGTAACTGTTTTCAGCCCTGGAATCAATTTCCAGAACCAAAAGATGATAGATAAATAGATAATGAACTTGTTTTCAAAATATACTAAAACTCCTAAAAGGAAACAATAAAAAAAGGAAAAAAAAATTTTAAATGGACAAAAGATCTGAAAAACACTTCAGCTCAGAAGATATATGGATGGTAAATAAGGAGGTGCCAGTCACCATCTTCCTTAGAGAAATGAAATCTAAACCACTGGTGTGACACTACTACACACCTGATAGAAGGAGCCTAAAACATGAGCAGAGCTGGTGTGCCCTTCCCATGCACAGCACAAAGGGTGCTCTGTCCTTGCTAGTGCAAATGCAAAGCAAGAGAGCCACTCTGATGGTGCTTTGGCAGTTTCTTGCAGACACACATGTTCTTCCATGTGGTCCACTTCTGACTATTTACCCAACTGATTTCTAAACGTAGAGCCACACAAAATCTTTATAAGAATGTGGCTTCGTTCATTCACCACAAACTGGAAGCAACCAAGACACTGTTTAAGAGGTGGATGGATAAAGTGTGGCTCCCCCACAGCGGAGTATCACCCAGAGGGACAAAGAAACCAGGGCAAGGGTGTTTGCCAAATGCATGTTGCCAAGTGAGAGAAGCTGGTCTCACAAAGGTCCCTCCTGCACAATTCCAGCTATGAAACAGGCTTTAAAAGCAAAGATTTAAACCATAGACAATGAAAGGTCAAAGTTTGCCCAGGCAGTAGGAGCTCAGGGGGAGAAGTGAGCCACAGGGTGTAGAGGGCCCTGTGGTGCAGGACAGAGGGAGGATCGTCACTGTGGAGACCTGACAATTCTGCCTCCACTGTGGAAGTGAGCTCAGTATCAACAACATCAAGTCCCGGGGGTGGGAGGCGCCCTTGGTAAGAGGCCAGGAGAGCAGCATTCCACCTCAGGCGTTCCTCTCCAAAGCCACAGAATGGTCCTGAGAAACCAGCATGCAAGCCCTGCTGAGGGACAAAGGCCTGCACAGTACTCAGCCAGGGTGGCAGAAGCACCCTGCACCTGTTCCTTATCATATAGCGGTTTCTGACAGCTGCTCTTCATTTAGTGGAAATTCTCTCTCTCCATTATTTGAAACCAAGGTAACTCATCATCTTGGAATCTAAATTTAATATTTAAAATAGTAAATAATTACTCCTAATTCAGAGTTTCTCTGATGATAAAATATTATACATATAGATTTCTATCCCTCACTCCAGGAATTCCAATCCCTGTTATACCATTTGCAAGCAAGGCTAACATAACCTACAAACTGTAGGTTGTAGATGGAGAAACGTTTGTCTTTGGTCTCACACACTAGGCAAAGCCCCATGCCTGGAAGCACTTCACTGTTTGCTAACAGAACATGCCTCTCAAGAAAACCTACAAAATGTGCTGGTTTATCTCATTTTGAATGCATGCCCACAAAAGACAAAAGAACAGGCAACAGTATCAAAAAAGAGATTTCTGCTTGCAAAGAACCTTCAATTTTTGCCCGGTTCGGTGGTGCACGCCTATTATTCCAGAACTCAGGAAGCTAAGGGAGGAATATTGTGAGTTCAAAGTCAGTCTGAGAAATTCATCAAGGCACTTAGCAACTCAGTGAGACCCTGTCTCTAAATAAAATATAAAAAAGGGCTGGGGACATAGCTCAGTGTTTAGTGCACCCCTGGGTTCAATCATCAGTTTAAAAAAAAAACCTTCAATTTTCCAGCTCAGGCTATGTTTTACCTTCTCCCTTTTGTTCAGTGTGCACCCCATGCCCTGGCTCTACCTCTCACTGGGCTCTACTGGTGGCTAATTCTTACACTGCTACAAGAAACAGGAGCAGTCAGGAGCTCCATGAATTACGTTCATGGGCCCAAGAACTGTTCTGCATCTCTCTGGCTCGCTATCTTTCAGCCTGTCGGGCGTTACAATGGAAATTTCCTGGTTGCCACTGGAATCTCACCTCAGTCCTAATATTAGACCTTCTATTTGGCAATGAGAGATTCTCCTTTTATTGAAACACTGCTTCAACTTACAAACACATTGAGCACATCTTTAATTTTAAAGGTTAAACAAAACCTTCCAGTTTCTCATTTATCTATTTCCTTTCTAAGCCCCAGTGTCAGGTTTTAAAAGCAAAGTTTCTCATTTATGGCTGCAAAACAAATAATGCCAACACTAATGGCTTAAAATAACTGTGGTATTTATTATTCACGAGTCTTCAATTTTTTACAGTTGTATTCGTCCCTATTCAGTGTGCAGCCTGTTAAGGAGACTTGCTAGCATGCATGCTCTGAGCGCTGGCTTCAGATAAGAGGACCTCTTCAGGCTGCAGGCTGCAGTGGCAGGTGTGGAGCACCCTCCTCTCCTTGGCCTTTCGTCATTCAGCAGTCTGGCCTGAGCTCCTTTGCCTCGCAGCTGGACCCCAAGAGAACAAAGTCAGTAGCCACCAGCCTCAAGGAGCTGGTCCAGGCCTGACACCACATGACATCTGCCACGTGCTGCTATGGAAAGCCGCTCACGTGACCACGCTGAACGAAGGGCATGATGGGGGAACATGCTGGCACAGGGCGGGAGGCCTGGCAGAGTCCCCAGATGAGTGACCATGCTGCCTTCCCCGGTCCCTCTGCCTGGATTATAAACGTGCATTCATTTTAGGGCTTAGTCCCAGTCCCTTACTTTGTCTTTCTTTAGTCTTCATTTTAATTCACTTCTCTTACCTATTTCTGCCCAGATAGAAGGATACAATCTGATGCCTTTCAGTCACGAGTATATGCTGGGGAGTTCCTGCTTTCCCTCCAGCCTGCCCTTCTTAACAGGGCTCCTGCCATGTCTTGCCATCTCTTCTGCTTCCTCAGGCCGCTGTTTATAACTTATCTCAGATATAATCTGTCCTAAGAGAACAGTCTACCTCCCATTCACGTCTGCTTCTCCTCCAGCTGTTCCCATCTGGGAAGTGTCCAGAAATGGTCTAATTGTGAGGCTAAAAACACAGGGGTTGCTCCTGCTCTGTTTTCACTCCTTCCACAAGTTCCACTCCAGTCCCTGTGGCTGGACCTCTAAAGCACAGGGAGGCTCCCAGAGCTTCCTGGCACTGATGCCTCGGCACAAGCCATCCTTCTGCCTCTGACTGACATCAGCTTGCTCACCTGCAGCCAGGATGCCCTCCCAGCAGATGGCGCACCTGGTAAGACCAGGTGCATGTTACTGAACTTCCTCCAAGACACCCTGTGTTGTGCTCCAAGTCCTGCTCTTCCACTCTGCTATGGGTGCTCAGCCCTGCACTCTGCTCCCTCTCGGGTGGCACTGCTGCTTTCCTGTCTGGGGGCATGACAGGCTCACTTCAGCCTGAGGAAATGCAAACTAGGCCCTGGTGCTGGAGTCACCTCCTGGGTCTTCCTGTTCATCACGCAGATGCAGCCAGAACGTGGCTTCAGAACTGTCCCTGGACACCCTGCCTGAGACCTCCCTCCTCCAGCTGTCTCCAAGGCGGTGTTTTATTCTATTGACAGCATGTAGGCTGCGTGGCCATTTTCTCCTCCGGATCCATTGTCACTGTCCCTCCCAGAGCAGGAGTGTGATTGGATGTTCAGACCCAGCCCTGAAAGATGTTCAGCCAAGTGCCTGAAACAGAAGGGTGACTTTGTAACTGTGGATGGCAGGTGACGAACTCTAACAGACATATGCACCAAGCAAAGGAGCTGTTGTTGCTCCCTTGATGAAAGACAGTGACAGGGTAACAAAACTCTGTTGCATGTTGACAGCATCTTACCAAGGTTTGCAAGGGTGGGCAATTAGGATGAGACCCTCAGTGCATTGTACTCAATGGTTCTACATCTCACAGCCCATTCAAGGAAGAGCTGTTTCCCTCCTCCCTTTCCCCTCTAGGCGTGGAAAACACAGCTTCCTCCAAACACCTAGCTGTGAGAATGGCACAGCCCTTCTCCATATCTGCATCAGCAGTGGTCAGCAGACCTTCCCTTGAGAAGTCCTGCTTCTGGGTGTCAGCCCTGCTGTACTCCTGCATGACTAGCACACCAGGCAAACTAAATGTGGGGAACAAGCTGGTGATGAATCCTGCTGAAATTCTGACAGACATTGGTGATGCTAAATCGTGGTTCAACACCCCCAGCTTTGTAAGGCTTAACGTAAGCGGAAGTTCCCAAATTTACCTTTGGTTATAAATTCTTTCCTAAACTTATATTTCCCAGCAGCAGCCTTCTCAGTGCCCCCTTCACCTCCTTGTTTCTGAGGGTGTAGATCAGGGGGTTCAGGAGGGGGGTGACGATGTTGTAGAAGAGGGTGAGGAACTTGCCCTGGTCCTGGGAGGAGCTGTGTCCTGGCTGCATGTACATGTAGATGATGTTCCCGTAGAACAGGGAGACCACGGTGAGGTGGGAGCCACAGGTGTTGAAGATTCTGTGTCTTCCTGAGGACGACTGGATTCTGAACACAGCCCTGACGATGTGGCCATAGGAGACCAAGATGAAGACCAGGGGAGACAGCACGATGCCCACGGCCAGGATGAAGGCGATGCCCTCCACAGCAGCAGTGCTGATGCAGGCCAACCGGATCAGCGCGGGCATCTCACACAGGAAGTGGTCCACCTTGTTGTGCCCACATCGAGGTAGCCACAACGTCATTGGTGACATGATCAAAGAATTGGCCATCCCACAGCCCCAGGCCACCGACACCAAGCCCAGGCAGAGTTGTGGATGCATAATAGTCATGTAGTGCAGGGGCTTGCAGACGGCCACAAACCTGTCATAGGCCATGACGGCCAGCAACAGACACTCCACTCCACCCAGGCCCAGGAACAGGAAGAGCTGGACCACGCAGCCCACATAGCTGATGGTCTTGTCACAGCCACTCAGGTTGTGGAGCAGCTGGGGGATGGAGCTGGTGGTGAAGCTGAGGTCCAGGAAGGACAGGTGGGTGAGGAAGAAGTACATGGGCGTGTGGAGCTGGGAGTCCAGCCGAGACACCAGGATGATGGTGCTGTTGCCCACCAGGGTCAGCAGGTAGGCTATCAGGATGACCACAAAGAGGACCCTCTCCAGGTGGGGGCAGTCAGAGAAACCCAGGAGGATGAAGTGGCTCTGGGTGCTGACGTTGGTCCTGTCCATCTCTACTGCACCTGAGGAGAGGTGTCAACACCAGTAGTGGCACCTGCTGATGCTGGAGTATGGACTCCTAGCCAGGCTTAGAGGAGCACAGAGCAGGTTTATTTACTCACCTAAGCCCTAAACACTGGTGTGGAGGCTCTGCTATGATTATTGTCTCCAAATTATAGAAAAGGAAACTGAGGCACCGGTGTGTTAAGTAAATGTCACATGTGGAGAGACAGAGCTGGTCTGCCCCAGGGAACGTGCCTGACATCTTCGTCCGTATCCACCCCTGTGCTCTGTCATTCCAGAGAGGAAAGGCACCCACCTGCCAAGCTCCAACCTCTGCTTCTTCCAGAGCCACAAGTTCCTGAGCTCCTGTCAAAACCTCAGAGATACAAAAGATCACTCCAAACAATCACCTGGTAGGGTTTAGAAAATACCAATGCAGCTCATCCTTGAACATCACGGTCCACTTATGCACAGATTTTTTAAAAAAATATTCAATATAAATACACACACACACACACACACACACACACACACACACACACACACATATATATATATATATATATATATATATATATATATATATATGGATGTGTGTAAACATAGAAGTTTCTGTTTGTGTTAAATAAAGCTGATGTGTCATACAAACAGAGAACATGAAAATAAGCCTTTTTTTAGGAAAAAAGTCTACAAGGAGAAATCGTACTAACATGTATCTAAGCATACCTTGAAAATACAGTAATTAAAACATAAGTGGCATGAGTGACGTGACATTTGGGGCGGAAGAGGGGGTTGTAGATCCCTGCTGTATTCCTTATACCAAAACAAACCAAATTACATATTTAAACATTTTAAAATGTTTAACTACTACAAGAAAGTATGAAGACTTTTCTATTTTCCTCCTCATCTTGGACTTGAGTAGATTTCACAAGTCAAATTTAAGTTCTTAAAAATGGTGAAATAAAATATGAATAAATCTGGATATATTTTTAAAGAATCTCTGCTTCTAACGAAGTCTGAAAAATAATGACAATGGTAGAAGACTACTTTGTAAATTTTTTTTTTCAAAACGTTGGCAAGAAAAACCTATAATAACATAGAAATCAGAGATGACTTGGAACAGCTCGCTAGACTATAAGTGATTCACAACCCAGTGACTTGTAGGAGGTAGGAATGTTCCCACTGATGACTAAGGCTATACAAATTGGAGCATAAAGTCCTTTGCTTTTTTGATAGGTTGATCTAAGAGTTGAAAAATGTGGGTGACACCCAGAGCTTAGAGAAGTGTGGGAGAGGAGCAGACTCATGACCCCTGCTGGGAGTTACCTTAGAGTAGTGCCTTTGGTCACATTAGTTCAAATTTAACCCAAAAGTCACTTTTAAAAAATGGGAAATAAACATCACCTATTTCTCTCCAAAATAAATCAATAAATAATAAATAAATAATCAAAATAAATCCAAGCAGAGGGGCAGGAGCACCTGTCCTGCCGCCCACACTTGCCTCTCTGTGGAGGAGGCCCCCAAGGAGTGCAGGGCTCCTTTACCTTCTGGGAATGACAAGTGTTTTCTCCCGGAATCCTCACTCTAGAATAAAGTGGATCCTCTATTCCCTGCATGGAGAAGTCCCTTGCGGCCACTTGCCCAGTCCTCTTGGCTCTCTGCACCCCAGCAGTTTGCCCTGCAAACACCTTCTACCATCCCTGCCAAGGTTATTCTATTAAAAAATCCGCCACCTTTTCCTGCACACGGTGGGTTTCTCTGTATTTCTTGTGGACTGGTCAACACTCTTCCATGTTCTCTCCTGGAGAAAGGGTAGATTTCCCACAGCCCTTTACATCTGGGCGCAGTGGGCGCGCGGCTCAGGGAGCCCCCAGCTGGTGACAGCGGTGGAGCTGCAGCCAGGGCTCCCTGACCTTGGGGAAGCTCTTCCTCCTCACCGAGCCAAGCGAAACACAGCCAGCAGTGCTGCGCACTAAACTGGTGAGGGCTCCCCGCCAGGTGCCCACCACGGTGACAGTGGAGAGGCCAAGAACCGGCTGCAAACACGGGTTTGCCAGACAGAGCGCCCCGCTGAGCCCGCAGAGAGTGGGGCGCCCCCTGAGGCAGGAGGCCCGGCGTTAGGAACGCACCTGCTTGGCTGTGGGCGAGGGTTGGGGGCCAGGCCACTCACAGGTCCTGCGGGCCACTCGCTGGTCCTGAGGCCCGGGGGCTGCGGGCTGGTCACGCAGCGGGAAAGCTTCCCCGAAGTACTCACTGTCTGTCTCAGAAAGGGCCACTCGCAAGCCACAAGTCCAAGAAGTGCCCTTTTCAGTTCCTGGAGCGAGGAGGTAGTTATATGGTTGAGGATTTCTAGTTAATCTTAAAAAAAAAAAAAATGAAATTAAAACTAAATTATTTTTGTTTGAATTTTAAAAATAATTTTACTTTGTAGCATTGAAGATTAAAGAACTCAAAATTGACAGAAATTATGAATGCAATGACAGATGATGGAGAGTGAGATCTTGTTTTCAGAGAAGGGCGCAGGCCCGCCCCCTCACCCAGGCACCGGCTGCAGGCTCCTCAACCCCACTGGAGCCTGAGGACCACGCCCTTTCCATTGTTTTGTTTTGTTTTCAATAAAATTCACGTCAGAGATTCCATTTTCTTAGTTCTGCCTGTCAAATCTCAGTTCTTTTTTCCCCAACAAACCCGTTCCAACATTAAAAAAAAAAAAAAAAAAAAAAAAAAAAAAAAGATTTTGTTTTTCACAAGTTACCTTCTAAGCAATCTTATACCCAATCCTTTAATATAATTTCGCATCGAAAAATTTACTGCTTCTTTTACTTAAGTAACTTGGATTGGATATGCATGTTCCTATGTGCACCTGTCTTTGGTGTGTCTGTCATAGACCATAAACTCTTCAAGAGCAAAGAGCAAGCTGTTCATTCTCTTTCCTTCCACACCTTTGAGGCAGCCTTGGGATTTTTTCCCATTACCCGGGATGGAACCCAGGGCATGGAGCTTTCCAGGCAAGGGCTCTACCGCTGAGCCAAACCCCAGCTCAGCTTCTTTCTTCAGCAAACCAACCTGGAAGAGCACATCTCTGAGATGAGCTTCTCAATCAGAAACCCACTCACCATTTCTCCTTGCACACTGTGCACTGCTAGGGGCCACAGCCAATCAGGACGCAGAAGGTCGCCATCTTGCCATTTGCTCCCCCCTGATGCACAGTGCCAGGCGCGGGAGGAACTGGGTGCGCCTTCAGGCTCAGCCCGTTCCTCTATCCAATGGGCCACACGTGTGTGCAGAGGGGTTTATGGCAATTGCGGGTTGATGCAGCTCCCCTGAGGAAATATCAGAGAGGGACCTGAGGATGCCCAGGTGCATCAGCCTCCCCAAGCTCTGGGGAAACTTCTGAAACCACCAGGCTCAGCAAGCATCACCTCAAATGCTCCAGCCTCCCATAGGGTTCAGGAAGAAAATGAGGACCATGAGAATTTGTCCCTCGAGATCAGAAGGAAGTAATACCTCACACAGGTAAAACTGGAGTTCTCCATCCAGGGTTGCTCAGAGGACATAAATCCCAGGGCCATTTATCGCCCCCCCCCCCCCAGAAGTATTACATGCCAAGAAGCAACCAAACGCTTGGATCTACTAAAAACAGGACAAATGTATTTTGACATCTTCTGGCTAACAATTTTATCTATGAAAAAGAAAAATACCCATTGTCCACCTACTGAAAGAACTCCAGAGGGGCCCGGATGAACAAAAAGCTTGTTTTACTTATGTTTACTTCTTTTTACTTTTGGATATGAAAGGAGGTGTCAGCCTATGCCGGTTTGTATTTTAATTTCAAACTAACCAGAAGGAAATCAAACATCTTGTGATTGATTCCTCAGACTGTGCATATGTGCCCATATTGATGATGCTCTTGTAGAGGCAAAAAACGATGTCACAGGCTACAACTTTTTTGAAACGTAATCAAATGAAGAGAAACTGAGACCCTGCAATCAGCAAGGCAGTGTCAGAGAAAGAGCCAGCTAATTGATTTCCTGGGTGACCAAGCGGTCAATCAAAATGCTGCTCAGGTACTTTGGTAGAGGTGGTGGAGAGGGGCGAAGAGACCACTCCGCAAGGGCAGCGAGCAGCTTGCGTCGGCGGAGCTGGGCTCTGCACCCAGCAGGCCTCCCTCCGCCTCCCCTGGGCAACAGACAGATCCAGCAGGGTCCAGCAGCAAGCCCGAGTCTCCCGTGGAAATCCTTCAATGGGAGGCTGGTGCCGAGAGCGGGCGGTGTAATCAGTCCGGCGGCGCCGACTCCTCTGCCCTCTGGGAGCTGGGAGTTTAAACCAGTCCCTCCTCGGCGGCTGAGGGGCTGTTCACCTCCCGTCCCACCAGCTCCAGGTGACCACCGCACAGCTGCCTTCTCTCAGGCCGTCCCCACTGCCCGGAAATGGCCGCTTAGCTAGTTCTCTCGACGGACTAGAGAGGGACCTGAGAAGAGAGCTTGCCTGTCAAATTAGTGACGTGAGTGATGAGCCCAGGCTTCTGGGAACACAGACTGTGGCCCAGCTGTGGAGCGCTACCGGGAAAGTGAGCACCGGGATCTGACATGGAGGATTTCATTCTATTTTATTTTATTCGTATTATTATTTTTATTTTTTTTTTGTTTTGTTTTATATTTTATTTTATATTTCATTTCATTGTATTTCATTTATTTTTATTTTAATTTTTCTATTATTTTATTTTATTTGTATTTTTAATTTTTTATTATTTTATTTATTTTATTTTTATTTTTTAATTTTATTTCATTTCATTTTTAAAATTTTTGAATTTTTTATTTTTTATTTTATTTTATTTTATTTGTATTATTTTTTATTTTATTTTATTTTATTTTATTTTGTTTTGTTTTATATTTTATTTTATATTTCATTTTATTTCATTTCATTTTTAATTTTTTAATTTTATTATTTTATTTTATTTGTATTATTTTTTATTTTATTTTATTCATATTATTTAATTTATTTTATTG